TTGCTTTTCAAATAATCGAGATAACATAAAATACCTGAAACGAAACGAGACACATGTCCGATCTTTTCGAGTGATCTCACCGATTAAATTAGGTGACATGCTTACTTGTCCTAAATTCATTCGTGTCACTGAACATTGGAGCACATGAATGCAACTGCTCCACCTTACTTATGATCCAAATACTCTCTGGATTAATTCGAAGCAGTTGCGATGCGAACACAAACCTTGTAACTCTCAACGCAAATTTCGTTATTATCTTAACGCTGCTGCGCAGCTCTTTCATCATGGTAAAAAAAACTGCGCAGCGGCGTTATAATGGTAACGAAATTTGCATTAAAAGTTACAGAATAGGTCTGCTGGCCTGTAGCAAGTCTGTTCAAAAATAATTATTGGACAAGAAAAATGAAGTTGTTGCGGACGTGACAAGCGTATAACCAATATCGCTGCCTTGCTGCCCTTGCTGGTTGGCTGTCAGTCCTGCAGTCCTGCACTGTCTGCAGTTGATTACAACGGTGGTGAACTGTAACGAACTGTAGTCTGTATGCAGTATACGAGCACGTAGGACTTCTAGTCCAGGTCCAGGCGGTCCAAGTTAAACTTCAGACTTTAGAGTCCCGTTGTGCTCTGTGCCATGCGATGTTATGTCGTTTGTTGTCGCAAGCCTGGTGAATGTTGAATACCGATGCGACGCACTTCTCTCAAAAGGGAAAAACAAAAGCGCCCGTTGGGCGCGTATTTATGCTACACGAGCAAGTATGCACTCCAGCTATCCCGCCTTATCTCCTCGTCCTGACTCGCGATCGCAAGACAAGCATAACCTCCAAGCGGTACGGTTTACGCAATTCACTTAGGACTACAACGATACCTTTGGGGGGCGACGATTGCGTGAATTTACTTATTTATAACGAGGAACGATAAATAGAAATGTAAACAACTGTTTTTCTCAATGATAATGACGTTGTTTACCAGTGAAAGCTGTCAGTAATTAGGATCTTAATGACGCTAAATACGCATTGGCAAACTCTACTTGTAGAAATTATATACTATCATCGTATATTAAAATAGATTACACCATACATGAACTTATTAATATTTGAAGTATATTATTATATAAACATGTTTATGTATACACACATATATATATATATATATATATATATATGTGTGTGTATGTTGTGTATATGCGTGCGCACACATGCATACGTTAATAGGCCTGGAGCTGGAGGTTGACTGTGTATCTTGGGCTCAGTTATGTACTTTGAAGTGAGATGAAAATTATAAAAGTGAATAAATTCATTAAATATTAACTAATGAAATTGTAAATGT